GAGTATTTTACTATCAAGGTTGAACAGAAAAAAGGAGAATGAGGAGAAAAAGAAGAAGAAGAAGAAGGAAAAAAAGGAATATAAACGAGAATAATGTTGTAACTTTTGTATTGGTTGGGATGGGTTTAACTATCAACCCCCCCCCCCCCTTTAAAATATATTTGATAGTTAAACCCATCCCAACCAACACAAAATGTACAACATTATTCTCGTTTATATTCCTTTCTTTTTCTTTTTCTTCTTTTTCTCCTCACTCTCCTTTTCTGTTCCTTCTTTTCTTCTGCTTCTTCTTCTTCTTCTACTACTATGTCTATGTCTTCTTCTTCTCCTTCTCCTTGTTTTTTTTTTTCCTATTCCGCTACTTCTCCTTCTTCTTATTTAACTACTTATTCTTGCTCTTCTAATTTTTCTTCTTCCGCTACTTCTCCCTTTTCTTCTCCTTTTTTGTGTTTATTGCTCATGCTACTTTTCCTTTCTCTTATTCAAAGTTCTACTTCTTCTTGCTCGTCTTCTCCTTCTCCTTCTCGTTTTCATCTTCCTTCTTCTTCTTCTTCTTCTTTAAAATAATTCTTCTCCTCTTTCTTTTCGTGAAATGACAGCCCATGCATTCTGTAAATAGTTATCATAAATAAGAATACAAATCAATTGTCAATTACAAAGTGTGGACTGCAATAATTAAAGTTTAAATTCAGTAACAATCCGTATATGCCTGTATACGTTTCGGACTTTGCCCGATTAACGAGTAGGCTAAATCCATGTTTAACAAAATATGTTGGTATAGATTTGATAAAGTACAAGACATAATTAAAATCATTCACTGATATCCCCAAAATAATAAGAACAACAATAACAAAGTGATAATGATTATTTGTAAAGCGCCATTACCATTTCGCGAAATGTTCAAGGCGCTGAGAGCGTACATAAACCAACATTATAATAAAATGTAAATTGCAATAAAGAGTAGGCCCACATAAACAATATAAGAGTAAAATAGAGTACATCGAAAACTTTGGCCTAGAAAATTGAACAGGATGATGGTTGGACACATGATGCTTATTAAACAATTTTTTAATTTTTTTTTTAAACGTCGGTGTTTTTTTCGGCGTTTGTAAGAAAATATGGTTTAAAAGCTGCTTTCGGTCGTAAGGCTTTTTTCAACAAGCCGCAATAACAGTGCAAAGTAATAGATTAATATATTTAATTCAAAAAACATAAAAAAGGAGATAGATTACAATATTTTTGTTTCACATTCTTCTGTAAAGATTTGTTATACTTCAATAAATGTTTTCATAAATACGCCAATACCCCCTAAAGACGTTTTCAACTTATTCATAGTAAACATGAATTAGCAACAAATTTGTATGATTTTCCATTTGTTAGGTTTTTCACATTAATATATTTAAAAAAATAACAACTTAGTTTAAGTACAAATCTAATCAATGTCCTCATTATGGGGAACAGGACATAATCTTCTTATAACTTAACTTACTAAAATATGAAGGTATTCAGAAAATGTTGAAGAATAAAATATAGGCTAATGTAAAAATCCTCCGAGATTTTTTGTTTCTGTTTGAATTTTTTTTGAGTTGGTTTGAGCCGTGTATGTGCAAGGAAATTGCATTTTTATGTGAAGTCAATAAAAACACTCTCCACCAGTTTAATTGATCGGTTGGAACGAAATTTTAACTTTATGACATGCATATACTTTTACCGAAATCTTTATGTGACTCCATAAGCGCCAAAGTGGAAAATCGATGCCGTATTATTGTTGCTTTTTGTCGCCTTCTCCCAGTCTCATTGTAAGATGGCGCTATATTCATTATCACGATTAGCTCTTGTTGATGTCAGGGCGGTTCCGTAGGAATACAGGCGATTGATTGACTGGTGTTGCTTTAGCTACGCTTTTCCATGCACCTTGATCAAGTATATTTAAGATTACTGCAATCTTTATCATCATTACTGTTTATTACGACGGTCATTTCCACAAATGTCAGATTTTAATCATTCTTATCGTTGAAAATATTGTGCTAATCATGATTTGCATTAAAAATAACTTTAATGATCTTTATTTAAATCATTATCAGCATCATTATCAGCATCATCATCCTCACCAAAAACACTACCTTTACCATTATCATCACCACTACCATCGCCATCATCATCACCAACATCATCATCACCACCCCTATCACCACCACCATCATCATTCATCATCACCACCAACACCATCATCATCATCCTCACCACCTTTTTTATCACCATCACCACCATCATCATCACCTTCAACACTATCAAAATCAACATCATTATCATCACCACCACCACCACCATCACCATCATTCATCAACACCACTACCACCACCACCATCATCATTTATCTTCATTCAATCACTATCACCCCCATCATCATCATCTTTTTCATCATCATCGTCATCATCACCACCACCACCACCACCACCATCATCATCTTCATCATCGTCATCATCACCACCACCACCACCATCATCAAAATTCATCATCATCATCATCATCATCATCATCATCATCATCATCATCATCATCATCATCATCATCATCATCTTCATCATGCACCATCAATATAGGAACAAGAAAGACAGTAAAGAACAAACCGATAGGCAAAAACTAAAGCATTTTCTTAAAAAGATCCCGGTATACCAATATATTTCATCATCATCAATACATGATACAGTAATACATCTAACATATTTTATGTACAATATGAAAAAGTGATATTTCTATTTGAAAATTACAGTAGCAAATACATATCAAGCACGTACCAATTAAGTACTGGGAAATATAATACAATGAGACATTATTAAAAAATGGTTGACATTATTTTTGCTTTTTTACAGCATACATTATATCATATCATTTCAAGTATGAAGTTACTTAAGTCAAGATTTTTCTGTAAGCTGCGAAAGTGACATTTTGTCACTCAAAGTTTTTTGCTAATGTATAGTCAAACATTCCCACAGGCCAGTACCTTCCAAATGATTAAAGCTTGCATCTATAGTACTTTGAAAATTAATATCTTGATAATAACGTATGTTATTGCCTATTAGGGTAAACTTTATTTTCTTTGATTCAAATTAGTTTATTGGTCTTGTAGATATATTACATGTCTCTTTTTAAACAAAATGTAGAATACTGATCTGTTTATTTTTCTCTTAAGCTTTACTGTACATAAAACCACACACATGTCCATATTCAGTTAACAACTAACTTATTCATACCCTTACCAAGTTTTGTAATTTTAGAAGCATGTGAGTAATTGACTTGCCCCGCTTTATGTTTCTTGATAATGTGACATATTCAAGCTTACATCCAAAAGTATTAAACAAAAGTCCTAATTCAACCAGTCTAACTTTCATTCTTGAGTTACAAAAACACACACAGTAAGAAAACATCAAATTTTGTAAGGGGTATGAAAAATTGAGTTATTAACTGTATATATCAAACACAACCCTGTAATTAATGCATATTTAAGTAGGTCAGGCGTAACATAAATGCCTTTAACTGGAAGCGAAAGATACATAGATATAATAAGTAGTGACAAGACTTTTACAAATTGGCCTTTGCCTGCAAAAAGGCTGTAATAACCACCCATGACTGGGGGCAGTAACAGCCTTACTGCTAGCAAATACAATGAATGTACAAAGTTTCTTCCTACTAAAGAATACTCAACTTGTATGTTAATACCATGAAAGTAAAAAAATATGAAGAAACAAGCCGTGAATGAGTCAAAATGATCATCTAATCGTTGTTAGAACAGCTGTACCTCCCAGAAGAGGTGATATTGATTGATATACTGTAAACGCTGATATTTTTGCATGATTAATTTTTCACACCGAGCGACCCCAAAACATATTCGCAGGTTCTTAAATTTGCGTTGCAAGCAATTCAGCCCGTTCAAAACACGCATAAGAAGTCAGGCCCATATATTTGCGGTTATAATATTCACGGACACTGACTTTAGCGCGAATATTACCAGGTTAACAGTAGATTGATGTATGTAGTATATTTTGCATGATGTAGGGCAGAAAGTGAACCAAGATTATGAATGAAATTAAGGTTTGGCGTTACCAACTTCTATTTACGGAGTAGCAGAGCTGCCAACCTTGTGCGACCAAAAAAAGGAATCATGATGGCAAAAAAAAGGAATTTCAAGCCAAAAAAAGGAATTCATAAAAAGAACCTTACAACCACGCGCGACACACTTCCAATGCAGAAATGTTCATTCATCATGCTGTTTTTTCCATACAAGCAGGTAATTTTTTTTGTGGTTATTTTGGTATTATCGGCATTTATTTTCTTTTGAGAATATTTTTCTCTTCAAGTATGTTTTAAAATAAGTTTTCTATTGAATTCGTGATCAAATCACCATTTAAGGGCAGTTGTTTGACGTGTGGTATGTTTAAAAAAAAAAAAAAAAAAAAAAAAAAAAAAAAAAAAAATTAAATTAAAAAAAAAAAAAATTAAATTAAAAAAAAATTTTAAAATTATGAAAAAATGTATTTTATGAAGAAAAAACGTTGTACCGTAATTTGGAGGAAAAAACGGAGTAATTCTGGCAAAAACGGAATGGTTGGCAGCTCTGGAGTAGGATACATCTTACAAGGAAACCTGTATATAAAGACTGCTCAAACGAGACAAGAATATTGGTCTTTACAGGCAGTTTGCTTTTGTACAAGTTTCAATAAGAATAGTATTTGAAGGGGAAAACAAATAGGTCTTTTTGACAGGTGGTCTTTCTATACAGGTGGCTGTTAAGTAAGGTTTTACTGTATCTTTGCCGATGTATGACGCACTTAAAATAAATCTATACTATTAATATATCATCACTATCATTTATACTAAACTTCAATATGATACTATTTGATTGTCTTTTTGCTTCATAAAAGAATATCACATAAACGACATTAAATTTGATACAACTTCCATACAATATTTGCTCCTAACACATTTGTAAACAGTTTCAAAAAAGAAAGGAACAGTGTCTCATATCGACTGATAATTGCTACTAACATAATTGTAAACATTTAAAAAAAAGAAAGGAATCAATTGATAATAAACAGAAAATCGTGCAGTAACACTATATTAAATTTGATGTTCAGTGATTGTCCTTTTCAAAAGCTGTTTTAACATTTCAAAAAGTATCCTCAATATATCAAACATTATAATTTTGTATTGTATTTCCCTTATCAGAAATCAAGAGCATTTTAAAATTACGGCATTTCTGTTTATGTCACTGAAAACACTCAACATTTCATTTTAGTTTTGGTCAATTGAATACTTACTCACATTTTGAGTTGTACATTTAAAAAAAAAATGGAATTCTTCATAAATATTAGAAATGTTTTTTTTAACAATGTTTTCATGGAGGTGCAAACACACAATTATAATGCCAAAATATTTCACAAGAATATACAGAAAATAGCCTCTTTGAAAAAAATCTATCATAAAGGGAATACTCAGAGCAATAAATAATTCAGCTTTCTATTTAAAAGAATACATGTACAGGCATCTACATATGATTTTTTTTTTTTAAATAATGTGCAACTGATATGCATGAGTGCTTTGTAACATTATTTGGTATAGGTTTATATAAGTACTATGCAATGATATACTGATAGGAATCTGGCATGAATATAATTGGAAGTCACTTTATATCCAAAGTCAGTGGATGACAATGTAATTATAACATTAACATTCCGTAACCAATTAACAAAAGAAGGACTTGTTCGAGGAAACTTTTTTCCACCGCGAGCTCCCAAGGCTTTATCTTCTTAATTTTTACGCATCTTTAGACTGTACCAAATTTTTAAAGATTTTGACTCAAGGGTACTGAGCAGCCTAGTTCACTTTAAAAGAAATAAATATTACTGCCTCTTTAGTGGATAATGTTCATATCTGTAATAGTAAACTATTAGAACCCGGAAGGAAAATGAGCCGCAAAGTCTGCATAAAATAACCAGAAGCAAAATGCCACATTGTTAGGTGGTACCATATATCTTAGGCCCAATTAACACGAAATAGCCGTAAATGTTGCAGTTATTTTACAGATAGATGGCTGATACGAACATGGCTTTTGTATCCACAGATGTGCATCAAAATCATTTACAAATACAGCACTCAGATCTGGCCTTGTAATAAAAAGGGTCTAGCTAATGATGGGAGGCTCTTCCCTATAAAATGAAACCACTTTTCAATAAGAATAATGGTAAATAGTTGGTGTTTCTAAAAGGGTATTTCATATAGACTCTTCTATGCAAGGCAAGCGGCTTTCGGCAGGTATAATGATGGTGTTGTTGAAGAAATAATAACAATGAAAATAACCTTTCAAGTGGTTTGCAGTGTACTACTATCCTCGTCAGTCGTTACGATTACGGTATGAGCCAATATGTTCGCATACAGATGATTTCAAGAATGTTTTTCTTCACATTTGTGAAGAAAAAAACCCTGCCAAAATAATAGATAAATAGATCATTCGACCTTGCTATGCATACTCTCTATTCCATTGGGAGCAATTGAGCACTTCATTAACCATTTTAAAGGTATCCATATCTAAGTATGTTCAAATGACTAACCTTCTATCAAAGTAGTCTATAAATACAGGTAATTCCAGATCAGATTTATTATTGTATGTAAAATGTCCCGTTTAATGGAAATCTCTCAACCAAAGTAAAAACGTAAAATTGCACAGACTGACTAAAAATGACTTATATTGTAGTATACAGTTGTGATTAAAGTCTATTCTGAATACAAGGGAAGACTGGGAGTTGGCATAGACAGGCACTTTTATTTACAGAATTAAAAAGAAAGGATTACATTTTTCAAAATTATCTGAAGTAACAGATGCCTAATAAATAAAGAGTATGATAACTCGCTACTGCATAATATTATTATGCAGATTGATATGATAATAATATGGTTAAATGCAATGATAAATAGATATAAATGACCTCATGTGACATATGCAATGACACCTTGCCATGCAAAACTCTTTGTGACTAAGATACATTGAATTTTTTTCGACATGTATGAATATTGACAAGGGTCAATGCATACTTTTAACCTGCAAAACCGCTGTGCATCTCCCAAACTATACTCCTCGGAATGCTACAAGACCACATCTCACTCAACCTGGGCCGAATTCCTACTGATACATGTAGGCCTGATAGATACAATGTACCTGTAGCTTCTAGATAGCTATTGTTTTTCGATTGGTAAGGAATAAGCATTTCTCAATCATACTTGAGAATATTTACAAACTGGTTGAAACTCTTTGAATTCACGGCACTGAACAGCAAAAACGGCCATAGCGAAGCAATGCAATGCGGAGTGTCCCACTGAAGAATTTGCCAGAATTTTCTATCCATGTAAGTGTACAAAGTAATGCCCAGCTTAAACAACTGAAAATATTTCAAAAAATAAAGATGCTTAAAGATCTAATGTTACTTACATTAAATCATGAAAGAACCGATACTTAAAATAATTCTGCTATTTACAGTTTTATACATCGATCAGCTACCAGTTTTTATTCTCATCATTAAAAAACAAAAGCCCAAGATATATGGTTATTGCTCTAAAGTCTAGAAAGAGTTTGGGGATCAGAGAACAAAACAGTATGGGTAGAATGTTGCGAAGGTTTGACAAAGTGGAAATGGACTAATAGCTCCAGCATGCTTGAAAATACTTGGGACTGGACAGATGGCTTCGCTGAATAAAAATATCAGCATCATTGACTATGTATGGGACTATACAGTTCAAAGTCTTTGAAAAAAATGCCAGCATCTTTGACAACACATGGGACTGTATAGTTGGATGCCTGGAAAATATGTCCATATGACAAAATCTCTAAGATTATCTGGGAAGTATTGATAAATTTTCCTTCTTCTTTCCTTTAAGATCTTCAAGAGCTTCAAGAAGATGTCCACTTATTAGATTTCCATAGAATGTTGAGGGTAGGGTTAGCAACTCTAAACTTGAAAAGGAAGTGCTCCCAGCATCTTTTGCAATATGTGGGACTGAACAATCGGCTGCCTCAGGAAATGTCTCGTGTCAGAGGGACTCGAGATTACCTCGCAAAATTTGGGTAATTCACAAGTCTTTCTTTTTCGCTTCTCCAAAAGCTTCAAGAAATGTCTTTGGTCAGGTACCCTACAACTGTACGGGAAAGCGCTTTTATTTCTTCTTGAGCTTTGAGAAAATGGATCCTCTTTTCTTCTCCTTGGCTGTAGATCTCTTGGTCCCTTGGATTGCTTCAAAGTCAGGGGGTGGGGCGCCATTGACATGCTCCGGAATGGGCTCTAGATGAGGAAACAAAAAGGAACAAGTGATAAAAACAATGGGTGGTATTCTCATAAGTTAAGCCGGACTAAGTCCAGACTAAACAAGAAATTTAGTTCACACTTCTATGGAATGCTAGGTGTCATCTTCCTCCTTCAATATTCATGACAAGATTATCTACCAAAGACTTTGTTGAAATTCAGTTCACATTCGTAATTATTGTTTTTCTTCCCATTTCATTGCAAAATTATTTTTTTGGACACTGTTAATTGCAGGATTAAAGTAATCTGTACAGGGTAAATGGGTTAGCAACTGGCACTCCATAAAGGTGTGGACTAACTTAGTACGCGCTAACTTAGTTCGCGCTACCGGAATACCACCCAATATGAACAATGATCTCATTACATATTATTAAAACAGTCATCTATTTGCAATGATCCCATGTTTCATTTAGCCTTTCAACAGACTATGAAATACCTTCCAGTCTGCCTCCCCCTCCCCCATCCTAATAAAACCCTGTACTCCCAAAGACCTAGAAAAGTTAAATGCCAAGGCCAAATCATGCTAGTTTGGTGGCTCTAGAAGGAGTCACCTCTGCACTAATTTCAACATTATTTACCCGGGAAATGTGTTGCATGATTGATGGGTGTTCTCTGTGTAAGACTGAACCCCACAACTATACTACCACAAATAACTAAAAATCTGTTAGTATGGAGTAGGTTTGGCAGAGCGACTGAAGTATTATAAATGTTCTTTGTCTATGATGGATTAACTGTGGGGCAACTGTGGGGAGGAACAGACCACGAAACACCCGCGAAGAGACCTCCCAGCTGATATGAAAAAGGGCAGAGGACTCTGGAGGACTCTTGTCGATGTCTTTACCCCAGAGAGGGGTGAACAGTTAAATAAGTATAGAGTATTTAAAGTTAACTCTGTATATAAAATGAGTTCACATTATTTACCTGGTAAGTGCGTCGCATGATTAATGGGCGTTCTCTTTGTAAGTACTACGTTGGTGTTAGCTCCTGGGTTGTAGGTAGGGTCTATCGATGCCAGGATGTTGCCTCCGTTCGACCTGTTGGTAGGTTGATTATCCTTCCCACTTTGCTACAAAAGAGAGAGAGGGCAAAGAAGTTTTTTTAAATAAATACAACAGAAATTACCTCTTGAATGCAAAATCGTGCGACTTCTGAAGGGTGTTCTTGTATACAAATTAATGTTGAGTGATACTTTCTAAAAATCTCTTGAACAGCCCTCAAGTACATGCAACAACCTCTTCCCCCCCCCCCCCCCCAAAAAAAAAAAAAGTGATAGATGAATGACAATATTTCATTAATAAGGAAATTCCAGTTTCAAATAAAAATGTAACAAGCAGATTGCTCATGCAACAAATAGCAAATAGCAATTGTCAAGATACAGTACATGCATACATGCATGGAGCAGTATGTGGCATTCTAAAACAATTTGTGTGTGTGTGTGTGTGTGGGGGGGGGGGGGGGGGAGTGGGTTGGAAATCATTGTTTTAATTTCAGAGTTAATTCAGCAGGGTTCTTACTTAGCAATCCATGAAGAAAGAAAAATTACTAAGAGAAATCCCAGATGGAGCTCCAAAATATTACAGGGTCATTAAAGCAGGCTTTGTTTACACTTTTAAAAAACAAAAGCCAATTATCCAGTGGAAACACAGCTTTATCACCCCTCCCCCCCCCAAAAAAAAAAAGCCAGTTGCTCATACTTTGGTTCATGTCCAAGGGCCGATGAAATTACTTTGTTTTTTTCTCATATTTAAATTATCTTACAGGGAAAGGTCGTTTTCATATGCAGCCACTGTTTTGCCGGAATGCCTAAGAAATATAAAACATTCAAAAAGTTCTGAAGAAATTTGAAAACATAATTATATAGCATCTCATAAGTATGAACCCAGTGCACTATTTCCATCCCTTCCTTATCCTGTTCTCTAAAGTGCATAGAGACATGCAATTATATGTGTTATGCACTCTACATCATTACCATTAATCTTCTTCTTTTTTTTTTTTTTAATTCCTTAAAATTTCCCAGACTGGTACAAAAAAAAGGAACTAATTTTCCAGGTCCTTCCTGCATTGCTGGGACCAAGTATACATGCAGATTGCCGTTGCAGCCTGTGCTTAAAATGCAAATCACAATGAAATTCAAAATTCAAATCCCAAACCCTAATCCCCAATGAAACTATGAAACCCTAACCCACAACATGCCCTCCTGAATGCCTTACTGTTAAGCTGACATCTGTCAGTGTAATTCCTTGTCCTTCTTTGGCGTCTGCTAACACGGCAACTTTACTATCCTTGTTTACCTGCACCATGGGCTGTAAATAAATGGTAAATCATGCATTATCATGCAATATGGCAATGTCAGGGGATTGGTAAACCAAAAGTAAATAATACATCAATCAATTTTTACACTGGATGTAAATAAATGGTAAAACATGCAATATAGCAATACTTGGGTCCTGTATTATAAAGAGTTGTGATTGATCCAAATCAATCACATTTTAAAATAAAATCGCAACTACGAACTTAAGAGATAGGAGTTGCAATTAATTTCAAGTTGCGATTGATTGGAATCAATCGCTACTCCTCATAAGGTAATCTATAAACCAATAGAAATCCATGCATCAATATGTGACAATCTCATCATTTTACAAGTTTTAAATAAGTGCTCAATCATGTATGAACATCCAATAGAGCCATACCAAGTGACCAATAAAACAAGATGTAAATCATGCAACTACAATGACTATAAACAAATAACAAATTTTGCACTACGGTGTGATATTGCTTTAGCTGTAAATAAATGGTAAAACGTTTACATGTAGCATGCAATAAAGCAGTACCACATGTAAACCAAACAAAACTCCCACTTTTATCAATATTACATTGGTGGTATAGCAACCATAAATTGTGCATTTACATACAATATCATAATACCAAATGAACAATAAACTAACAGTAAATCATGCAATTCACATAAGTCGTACAGTGATGGTAAATCTAGCATAAACATGCAAAATAGCAATGCTATTATAGCATTGCTATTTATAAACATCAAAATGAATGGTAAAATTAAGCCTGCTCACTTTTCTTTTGGTATGTTTTGTTTGATGATAATCCTAAGAAACCATGATCATATTCAAATAAAAAGATTGAGTTAAAATTAGTTTGAATATACAAATACCATATCAACTGTAAACAAAAGTAAATCATGCACCTAACATGTCAATTTAGTTTATAAATATTGTGAATTGTAAGTTGTAAACAAATAGTAAATCAGGCATCATTATATAAAGTCACTGGAGTGTTGGCTCAGTCAGTAGAGCGTCCGCCTCACAACCGGAGGTCGTGGGTTCGAACCCCGGCCGCGTCATACCAAAAGACGTTAAAAGATGGGAGTTGTTGCTACCTTGTTTGGCGTTCAACAATAAGGGATAGAGCAACGTCGATCTGGCGCTGCTCAGTGGCTGCCGGGCTCACGATCGATTGGGCGAAAAGAATTTCTGTTTCGGTTTAATAAAATTTGGAGTGGACTATTAGGCTATTAAAAAACTATAATACTATACAGTGAAACCTGTATAATATATTGCTGTTTTGTCTCCTTTAGTTGAGATAAAACAAAATGATACACAAAAATGCTCTTCATGTCCTGTAAAATGGTCATATTTCCAGAGTATCATTTTCCTCCATGCGCGAGCAGTGTAAAGGCTTGTTGCGATATGGCGCAGTAAACTGCCACAGATGCGTGTAAATGAATAGCACCTGGGCGCAACAAAGGACTTGTGCGTATACACCGAGCTCTGTTTTATAAAATACGGAGCGTATTACACTTTACTTCATCATTTTTTTAAAAACACTGCGGTTTTGCCACGTCATATCTGGACACTCCTGTTTTATAAAATTTGTTATCAATAACAATTGCTAAATTTCTATAACAAATTTGCTCTTAGCCAATCAAAAGGCTCAATTTCAGTAGCGGTAGCTTATAACAGTTCTTGCTTGTAACTTGTTTTATGAAACAGGGCCCAGAACAAGCCTTAAAGTCTATTACTTACCTCAGGGTCGGCTATCTCATCACTGACTCTCTGTTTATATTTGTTGTAGGTTTTCTTCTTGGCGAGCATCACTTCCTCATGCTGCATTTTTCTGGCAATTTTCTGATCAGACAAGAAGATAAATAGGAGACAATGAAAATACAACATGAAACTGTTATCAATATTTATCTGTATAAACCAGTGTTCATGTTAGAAAGGAAATACAAAAGAATCAAATATTACATTTCAGTTGGCTTTTTAAATGTACTTAGGCAAGGCGTCAAAAATAAATATACCAGCCAGCGGCAGCTAACTGCACTTGTGCGTCCTGGCTGCATTTTTTAAATCAGCTCAGCCGGCTACCGCTGGCGGTAGGAAATGGCATTCAAAAGCATGCGCCGGCTGCCGCCTTTCGAATGGAAACCGAGCCTCAGATCCCAGCCTGGCACAAGCCGGCTGGGCTAATAAGTGACAAATAAATTGCCCCAGCCAGGCTTCGGCCGTAATTGCAGCCTCGATTCGCCAATACGTGAGGCGGCAGCCTGCTGGTATCGATATTTTTGACGCCTCGCCTTATATCATTTTCTAGAAATGGACCTTAAATTAATAAAACAGACACTCAGTAGTTAACCTTTAAAAACTAAAGATTATAATTCTGATCTAAATAACCCAATTTATAATTGAAGGAATTAGGTGATATTTCTCAGAAGCACAGTCACATCTGTAAAACTATTTCTGGGTGGATCTAACGGTGACACAGTTTTCAATTTACCTTCTTGTAAACATGATATTCAACAATGGGACAAATTTATCGAAACCAGTTTATACGTTTAGTTAATTCAATATTTCTAAGAATGTCACCTTCAAGGAAATGAAAGTACACAAATGTATTATAACCTGTAATTATGGTAAATCAATATTGTTCATATATTAACAAATCCTTTTGAAAATATTTGATTATTTCCTTTATATCTTTGTATTTCTTTTTATTTCTTTTGTTACAGACAGGGAAGTCATCATCTATTCTTTGGAAGCAGATAGAGAGTGATGATATAAAAATAACATGCAGTTGATCAAGTCATGAATCTTGGAATATGACTATTAAAAGGATCGATTAACAATGTGAAATCTGAGTGTTTTCAGTGTCTGTGATATGATGTTATATTGAAGCGCTAAAAAAATTGAGCTTCTAAATATTCAAGAAGCGCCTTAAAAAAGTGAAAACCGGCTTGTAAAAGTCATGGGGTTCCTGACTGACCTAAAATTTTATAAGTATCATTGCAGCATGAGCTAAATCAAGGATTTTGTTAAAGGATCTAAGACAAAGTTACCTGATCCCTTTAAAGAAAACAATGAGCAAGAAACAAGATTATAACATGATGTATGATAATATAATAATATTAATATTACATTTATAAAGCCCCTTTTCATTAGATACAAAGTGCATAAATAATCAATAACTAAAAACAAACAAGTTTAAAATTACATTCAAAAGGAAATGATTTTCACTTGAGGAGCCTTTGTAAGTCCTTCAGGCAAACATTTAGAAAAATAACACTGGTTCAGTTACTCAAATTTCATTAGTCTTTTATTTCTCTGTGGGAGAAAATAAATAGTTCTGGAATCATCTAAATGATAAGAAATTTGGCCAAGTCTTGGTAAAAGTAACGAGCACTGTGCACAGCAATATGTACAGTATATGAGACAACGCAAACATGTGGCATAAAAATGTAGTCCTCATTTAAAGCTGTTACATGTCATATTTAGAATATGTAGGGATTTGAAGAGCCATGCTTTTCAGGGAACATTTTTTCTCTGATGTTCTTCCACACTTGCATACATGTAATAGGGACATCCTTTTAAGGAAATGTGATGTCCTTTTAAGGCACTGCCGGGCACAGCCGAGTGCCTTAACACAATGTCACACGCGGCAGTCCACGCTCTCGTCGTGTAAATCTAAAAGTCCCTAATAACAATGAAAACGCTCACAAATTATTTTTCACCTCTCCCCAGAAATCAACTTTCTCTTTAACCTGTTGTCACGACCATTAAAGCTTTTTATCAATTTGGCTTAAAGAAAGTGAGGCATTACAAAGTATGAAGAAAATTATATTTTAGAAAAAATGAAAAATCCCGCAATATTTTCTAACAAGAATAAGAATTTTCTACGATAATAGATATTATCATAACAAGAGGGTCAATTTTAAGAGCAATTTCAAAGCATTATCTCTCCATATATAAAATTTTGCTTCATTCAGTATCTCAACTTTGACTGATATGATACATGTACATGTACGCATGATAAAAATTCAAATAGTACCTTTAATGAGGAAAATGATACACACTTGATACGCCTTTCTAGATTATCATGCAGAATATTATGTCAACACTTGGCATTCATGTTACGGTATCTTACATTCTCAAATGAGAAACAAGTGATTTCCTGTCCCACGTACATACAATGTTTACATATAGGAACAAACGTCAATAATATGTCGTTACGTAAGCAAACTTGAGTGTGTTCAATTTGCATCTATCTAAAATTCTTCTCATGAGCTGATTACTTGCATTATAGTTATGGTTTGAGTAAACAGTAACAAAAGGATAGAGTTACACATTCTGGAACATTCCCAAAACAATCAAGTCAAATTGCAATGCAGTATTTCCCTTTGAAGATAAAGAAGGGCATTACAATTAGAATAAGCAGTAAAATAAAGCTATATGTTTGGGTAATACTCATATTTTTTCATAGTTTTGGGGAAGACGATCCCCTGGACTATCACCACCCTTCTGTATCAACCGCTATGCAACCATGCCCTGGGAAATTAACCTCAGACCACAACCCCCCTACTACAGAGCAACATTGACTACAGAAATTTCAATATTTAGAATAGTTTCCAAAGAGGGTGGTTGGGGAGGGGGTTTGTCCTAATACAGAATACTTATCTACCTAAACTACGGATCTATGTGCACTATTTGTGTATCATTTTTACAAACAGTCCAGAAGTGTACTATTTTTCTTCTAAACTGCCTAAAATGTAAATACCAGAACAACCCAAAGGGCCCAGAAATCACTGCATGATTGTGGGCCTAGCAGGAGGGCCTTCACACAGGAATTTCTTACAGTTGAGAGCATAAAGGACTTTCCTGCTCTAACTGATAGTACTTCACATTAATAAATTTGTTTGTTTTACCCGACTGCTACAGGACAAACGGCTATCTGTCCCCTACGAGGGACTTGGTATAACGATTAATGCCTTATCAAAGGGCAGGAGCGCATTGAACCTGGGACATCACTGTTACAAGACCACTGCTCTACCACTGAGCTATAGTGCGTCCATAATGCCTTTCTGCCAGGGAAACAAGTTTTTTTTCTTCTGTTGCTCCTTTGACAAGGTTTAATGCATAAAGGACTCCCATGCTAATGCAGTTCTGGGGGGGGGGGGGTGTTTCACAAAGATCCTAAGTCAAACTTGGAGTTAAAAATTATGGATAGCTTTTGTAGTCTTGAGATAAAAAATATTCAAGAACAAATAAATTCCTCATCAATAACACGAAATTTCCTTGATAATAGAAATTATGAACGATTTTAATCAGCATTTTATGCAAAATATTTCAGAGATGCTAACAGCTTTCCATAATTTTGAAGCCCAACTTAGGATCTTTGTGAAACACCACCAGGTAAGCAAACAAGAGTTTGTTCTAGTACTGTGGTCAAACGTTAACTGTCCGGTATCCGACCGTCCATGGCACTATCCATTTTCAATTGGACCATTTTGTTTTCCGGTTTAAAAAAAAAAAAAATAATAAACAGAATTAAATAAACAGAATTAAACAGAATTGGAGATATCCGTGATGTTACAACACTAGTTTGTTCATACACACCTCATCATGTAGTAACTGTTTCTGTTGCTCCTCTGAAAGCGTCCTTGGTCTAGACTTCTGGACTTCCTCACGTTGCATCCGCCTTGCAAGATGCTGTAAGAACAATCCCACATAAAACTATTATTTCACTCTATCATAGACATTTCAAGGATATATCAGTGGGAATCATTAGAGTGATCATTAATTTATCGACTATTTTCTTATCAAAGTGACTCGGTAACCTTGTTGAAGATTGATGAAAAAACTGTGAAATTTTTCTATGAAATGTTAATTATCATATTCCTTCTACTGTACTAACCCACTAATACTGTTTTCACACTGGTAATATTTTGCTTAACCCCGTACTATAGATGGGGTTAAGGGGGGGGGGGGGGGTCTTAGCCCCACCTATAGTACAGGGTAAAGCCTATTCCACTTTCTGTTCAGACTGGTTTTTACCAAAGTGGGCTAAAGTTGGCTAACCCCACCTATAGTACGGGGTTAACTAACCCTGCAAAATAGCAGGGCTAACCCCGCAATTGTGGTGCTAACTCCTGCTAACCCCGCAATTGCGGTGCTAAGCAAATGAATGAGAACAGAAACGAAAAATAGTCCGGTACTACGCAATGGAGCGTATCGCAGCTGGCCAGATGCGAAGTATGTCCAATCATAACATACATGATATCCAGGGTTAACGAAATGCAGCGAGAACAGCTGGAATTTTCTTATTCCGGAATAGGCGCTAGTACGGGACAGGCTTTTACAAATCTTTCACCATCTAAATGTCTGGAATGGCATACAGAGCAAATTCATTGCTTTGTGACTATTTTCATTCACCTAAAATGTAATTAAATTGTAATAATATAGTTGGGAGAATTAAGGAATCGATCAGATCAGTTTTTCCCAATTTGTATCATTAACTCTTAAGCTGCCACCCATACAATGCACCCAGTGCCACAGTGCTAATCCCTATTGTGCCCGCTACTAATCTCCTGTGTGCCAAGTTAATTTAGGGTTGGTTCAAGTGCGTGTAGTTTAAATTGTTACTATGTTTGATCTCACTATAACATCTCATCTGTATATTGTATAAAAAAGAATTCTACGTTAAAGTTGTAGGAAATATAACCCTCTTTCTGTTGATACCAATATCATTTCATGAATCTGTAATTTTGGTAAAGTAAATAAGCACTATCAGTGAGTTGTCAAACCAATCCGTTGTCTCATTTCCCGCACACAATCTGAGGGGCCATGATCAAAACTGACAAATTTGATGATAAAATATCGCAATTTTCTCAGGAAAATCCAATGTAACGGTATATGTGAAGCACACAAAATCAAAACAACAATAAACCCCCTCCACAAATACAGTAAGCATTCATGCGTGCACGCAATGCGCATCGCACAATAGGCATAAACAATTAGCTTGTGTACTTATGCACGAAAATGTGTCCGTGGCACGCGAGCGGATGAGAGTTTATGTGTGCATGGCATGTCAACAGAAACCCGGTTATGTGTGTGTGGCACGCCAGCGCATGCACAGAACAGTGTTCTTGGCACGATAAGAGTTAATAACGGTTTGTTTTCACTCAGATTATCTTTAATTGTACATCTAGCATTGAAGTCACTACCTTAGCGCCATTTTCTCTCATCTGAACAATGTTACAAAGTCCCTTTCAGACTTTTTGAAGACCAAGTTGAGGGCAAGTGCTGCACGACCCCCCCCCCCCCCCCCCCGGCACGACCCCCCCCACCTCTCCCTGTATAACCATTGAATCTGTCAACATTGGATATGCCATAGAAGCAACTCCCAACGTCTAAAACCATCCCAATTACTGTGTTCAACAAGATTGCTCTTCAAATCAGTTACACATTTCCCTTATAAATGTAAATGCAGCTAGTACAGCCATTGTTCATCTTTAACAAGCATTTATGCTTTCCTAGCAGTCAGGTAAAATAACCACCACCACTACACTACAATGTATCTTGCATAGTTTGTATTTTGTTTGCAGGATTAGTTCATTTCAGGGTAACCTGTAATGTTGCTCCAGCAAGCTTTGCTCAAGGTTTTATTTTGGCGAAAAATATTGCATTACAGTTAGGGTTGCAACTGAGATTCGGTTGGTTTTAGTGTTAGGATTAGATTAGGGTTATGTTTAGGGTTAGGTCTATGCTGGGTACAGAACCTAGTCCAGGGTGTGGGGGGGGGGGGGGGGGGCGTTTCACAAAGCCTTTTTTCAATGTCAAATGACAAAAATCAGTGCCAAATCTGCTGATAACCAATCAGAAGCAAGGATTTCAGTAGCTTATAACAAAAACTTTCATTTTTCACTGATGACAAGTTTTGTGAAACGCCCCCCTGGTTCAGAATTCTGTAATGGAAGGACATCGACTATAAAGCCTCGTCGGCAGGGATCATAAGTTCACACTTAGCCCGTAAATTTGTCTCACATACCTCATCGTGTGTCATCTTTGCAAGGGCATCTGATTCCTCATCACTGTCACCCTCTCTCGGATCTATGGCAACAACGAGGGCTTGTTCTCCTCCTCCAGAGGCGGTAGACGACGAGCGTGAGTGGGAGTGGGAGTGGGAGTGTGAGTGTGAGTGTGGGTGAGAATGGGAGTGGGGGTGCGGGTGGGTGTGGTTGGTGCGATGCGAGTCGTCCAGTTTCATCCCTCCCATCGAATGTTCCACTTCCACGTAATCTAAATCATCACATAAGATAATACTAATAACAGTGGAGTCTTGAATGGCGCTCACATCCTGCATTCCATTATCTTTACCCGGATTCTAGCACGGCTGCCATGACAGCGCTCAAGCATTATAAGGAATGAATTCCTGCCACAGATCCATTACCCTCACCTAGGTGCAGTGTGGAAAATGTAGATTAATGCCTTGCCAAAGGACATTAGTTCTCAATGTTGAACACACCTTCTTTCCCTTTTTGATTCACCTTATTCTTGGTGTACACAACACCAAACAAAACACAAAAACAACAAAAAATATCTCTTGTAAGGGTTTAATAAGAAAACATCATCCTATTATCATCTTGCTTTTTTTCTCTTTCCATTTATAATTTTTCATTAAATTCCTCTAAGTGCCCCATAAGCAGGTTCTTCTGATGAAAGAATATATCAACAGCCTTTTCAGTAAGGCTACCACATGGTGTTGCCGAAACCCTCAACATGTGATTTGATATATTTTTTTATCTCTACCTGTTTTCGATTTGTGTTTGCCGGAGTGCGGTGGTCGATGGAGACCGTTCTCCTGCTGTGATAACCGCCGAGCAAGCTGGTGATCTCTCGCCATCTGCTCCGCTTCAATCCTCTTCTTCCTGGCAGCTTCCATTCTCCTCTTCTCCTCCATCTGCATCCTCTTGGCAAGCATCTATGCAAATTAGGATGATTGATTAATTCATTAATATTGACTACTCCAATATAGTATAAAACAATGACAGCTTAGAACAGAAATGTTTTACTACTGCTGCTGCTACTACTACTACTACTACTACTACTTCTACTACTACATGTACTACTACTACTACTTCTGCTATTACTTCTACTTTTACTACTAAATGTACTACTACTGCTATTTTTACTACTACCTTGACTACTAAAAATACTTCTGTTACTATGACTACTACTACTACTGCTACTACTACTAAAATAAAGTCTAATTCTTAAAACGTGTTTTTCAAAGTTTAAAGAAGCCGCTAGTTATTCTGAAGAAAAGGTTGAAATATTGATTAGAAGCTGCTCCACAAACCTCATCTGATTCCTGTGCCTGTAAAGCTTTCTCTTGCTCTTCCTGTATCATCTGAATCTGAAGGATTCTGGCTCTTTCTCTGTCCTCCTCCTCCCTGTGACACAAAAAGAAGAAGAAGAAAGGAAAGAATAATATTTAATTGGGAATTACGCAGAAACCTACCAATATTAGAGATTTACATGTCAACATGTATGTTCCCTTTTATATTTAATGACTGATAGAGAATTCAGCAATTTTGCACTACGTCGTTACTTCATCTTTTCTTTTAAAACAAAAAATAGACAAGGACTAAGGCTAATTACCAGTACTTTCCAAAATCTACCTCATTTATTTCCAAATGGAGAGGAATTCATGATTTACATGTATTTACATTTATACTTGTACCAAGATTCCAGGTTGTGGTTTTCAGAAAGACACTGCAATAAAGTGGCAATGTCGATGGCGATGTTGATGATGATGGTGATGTTGATGATGATGGTGATGTTGATGATGATAAGGAGGAGGAGGAGGAAGATGAGGAGTAGCAGGAGAAGGGGATTATACATGTACATATATTATCACCGGAGGAGCTCACGACCCAAAACAGAGCATAACAGATCATAAATCGTCTTATATCTAAATGAAAAATGTACTAATGTACAATGGCACATCAAATCTAATTATTAGTATCGTTATTACTATTTCTAAAGCATAAAAAGTAACCGTTTCTGTTATAATGGATTTTGCGCTACACCTGTACATGAAAGTCACTGAACAAAGCAGCCAACTCAAGACTGCCTTACACAGCTCCACGAAATGAAACTATTTGTTTTCCCCTGGATGATTGATAGATACATTTTTTTCTTTTTTGTGGGGAGGGGGGGGGGGGGTGTTACTTACAAAGGTTGCCCTTGACAACCACAAAACAACTATTGCATGCTAAATTTCATTAGCAGAGCACGAGCATTCATCATGTTCAGTTGCATTCACACTCTGGTCTTTAAGAACTATTAGTATTTTTAGTTAGAACACGTAGCAGTGCCAGTTTAGTGGCTCAATCTTTTTTAAAGGTTTGCTCCACAGTAAATTTCCTACATTATCTACATTCTTAAAAAGAACCCTAACCCTAAACTTCACATTAAACCCAGTAGCAGTGATTGCATTATATAGCCCAGTGCATATGACGTATCACCATAGCAGCTTACTATTTAAAGAATACAGAGCTGTATTTCTCAGTTGTCACCAGTAGCAAAATGTTCCCCTTGTAATTTGACTAAACTGAGGCTGATAGTCATGGGGAATCACCCATGAGTGAGCTCGACTGTTCACTCTTGCATTGGGTAATCGGTGCTTGATACCGAGTTACCCACAGTCTTCCTCCTGACTCTCAGTGAGAGTAATGTGATGGTGTGAGCACTCTCTCTCTCTCTCTCTCTTTCTCTAAAGCTCTCTCTCAGCAGTCACCTGAATGTATCGTGTGCATAATTTCCAAGGGCCTCAATGCATCGTCAGTGATGCTTACCATGTACAAGTGCTCAAAATCTTGCTCTCAAGAATAAAGCTCTAGTATGAACAGTCCCTTACAGGTGTACATGAGAAAATTAACCATATGCAGTGTACATGTACGTATTTTCAAGGTCATTCATACTTCATAGATTTCCAAGGGCCTCGACGCATTGTCCAAGCATTGTCAGTGATGCTTACCATGTACGAATATTCACAATCTTGCTCTGAAGAATAATGCTCTAGTATGAACACTCCCTCACACGACAACATTAACAGTACATTGCCAAGGGCATTCATACTTTATACTCCCAAAGGTAACGTACATAATAATGATATTAATAATAATAGGTTCTTATATAGCACTAATATCTGTCAGACTTGACAGTCCTGACACTCCACAATTATGTCTTGACAAAGGACATTTACTGCCGCGGCGGGACTTGAACCGCGCACCTTGTGATCCACAGTCTGGTGACGTATCCACTCGACCACAACACCTCTACATGTACAATGTGATGTACTCATAAAAGTTACCGGTAAGTTAAATATGAACATTGCTACCATACTATACGCATTACAAACATTTCCTATTCTCCTACCAATACCCATGCAATCAGTCCGGCATACACATTGAAGCAAATAACTCATTCACGCAGGAGGCAAACAAGTACATTTATTCCTTACTCAACCAACCACCCGTAAAAATATATCACGTTCAGAATCACGCACCTGATTTCTTCCATGATGAAAGATGAGGGTACTAGCAGAGTTAAAATCAAAAGCACAGTGGATTGCAAATAAAACCACACCTGTAACATGAATACCCTGCCTAATACACACATAATACACACATAATTACACTGGTCTGTAATCTTCTTACATGTAAAATGCGTTCATGGATGACAAATTTTGACATATTTCTTCATTTTTGTTCACAAAAGCTCTAAAAAACAGTTATCAATAAACCAGGCTGCTTTTTTGTTCCTTTATTTAAAGGTACTAACCATGATTTGAAACCCGACTACAACTGGCTTTTGAAGGCAACTGCAATATGATTACATTCTTTCTTATCTTCTTTTTTTTTTTTTGTGGGGGGGGGGCGGGATGGTTTTCACCGACCTCAAATCCAAATATGTTATTTTTTACTTTGAATGTCTTTGAGTAATATGCTTTTGTATATCATTTTAATGGATATGCAATAAACAAATTGAATTGATTTTGAAAATAATATGTAATGTTCGAGAACTTTCATATGCATAGCATTATTGAAACTGTGTAGCATTGGCAACCTCCCTCTCGGACTCGGGGGGAAAAAGGCCCAGTTATCTGTAAATCGTAGAAACTTCACACCGGTCGCACAACTTCCTGCAAATGTGTGGCCAATTCTTATCTCCAATTGAAAGAGGTAAAAATCCTGCAATTTTAATTCCACAATCCAAAGACCATTCTGCAAGTACCTAAAAGAAAATCTATAAATATTTTCAAAATCTACTCCCATTACAATTCTTTAAAAACCCAGTTGCAGTCAAATTGTAAAGTAGGTGTCGGCCTACAGCATTCTTACAATTTTATGTTCCTCTCTGCGATCTCATGCTCCTCCCTGAAAGCTTCGAGGGCGGATTCCTTAGCGACATCCTTAGCAACCTCCCGATCTCCCCTCACTGTCCGTCTCCGGGAGATGTTTCCACTGTAATGGGTCACATCTGAAATGGAATTTGAAGAAGAAGAAGAAGCAAATGTTAATGTCATGTTCTGAGACCCAGAAAACTTGAGGTAATACAATGAGGGACTATGAAAAGGGAATTTTGATAATGCAACAGCAATGCAGTGTATACATGTATGTGGATGTGGAGATCTATAAGAAAAATCACAAAATATTGACATTTTGATAATCACTGCTCAATTTCTTGGTCTGATTACTAACGTGTATGATTAAGTTGCTCCTCTTGGATGCTAAATAATGTAATTTAAACAAAATAAAAGGCATTTATATAGCGCTGTCAATCTATATAGACTGACAATTCTATTCTAAGGTGCACTAATTAATTGTTACCCCGGCTTTAGCCTAGTTGCCATTACAGTGCTCTAGCATTTCAAGGAATTTAATTCCTGCCAGGTACCCATTTACCTCACCTGGGTCGAGTGTGGCAAATGTAGATTATTGCCTTGCCAAAGGACATTAGTGCCGTGTCATTATATGCACCTCGTCCATTGTACTTCACATACCGGTAGTTAGAATTAACTACCATAGTGATAAAAAGTACAATAAGATCATGATGAACGACCTATCATAATTCATAGACACTGAACATGCTGGCAGTTTAAAAATGGGTGATTTGGTGAATTTCATATAGGACATGCCAGACAGCCTTCTGACTGCACACATAACTGACTAAACTTTGTATGGTCATTAGCCCTTACATTATAACAGAAAGAAACGTGACTAACTTTACATATTCAGTGTGTTTTTTCTTCTAATCTTTGGATTGGCCTTCACATTTAAGTTAACAAAATACAAATACAGTGAGTTACATGTACATGTATGATGGTTTTGTGAAATGCTACCCTGGTGCTAGTCATTTCAGTGTGAATGGGGTTTAAATGAAGTAATATGAATGGGGCATTAGACTATGAATCTTACATGTATATGTATTTATTTTGACCTACAGTATACATGTATATACATGTACACTGTACACATCATACTTTTGTAAGTAAACAGAGTGGGTATTTAATTATCTATAATTAAACTGTACTTCTTATTAAAAACACAAAGCGTTGGACTACGATGTACATAAGTCATTAAATATTATACAAATAATACACAGCAGTGAGGGCATTAGTCAGCATTACCCGCACAAGGTACCTTTGGAACAGTCTACACTACATGTATCACCTTGGGCGTGTTAGGACTGTTTCAAAGGTACCGAGTGTGGGTAATTTTATTAAAGCCCGAACAAAATGATGTGTATTATTTGTATAAGACGATGTTTTATTTGTTAACATGATTTTACTAATGACCGGTCATTAGCATTAACTACATGTACAATGTAAATGAGTGGTCATTAGTAAAAATTAGTTAAAGATCAAACTACAGTGTACATGTATTTACTGCATGTAGACAGGCCTACAATGTACAGTGTACATCACAGTCATACTGTACCGCAATTAATAATATTACTGTAATACATGTGTATGTACTGTGTAAAACAAGACTGATTATAATTAAAGTCCCTTATTAAATACAAACCTATGAACAATCAATGCATATAAATCAATACTTTAGTACAACCCTGAAGGGCGTTAACCCTGTGCAATTAAGGGTTACATGTACTGTACATGTTTTTTCCTGTTTACTATCATCTACGATCTGACATTAACTTTGTCTATCTATTGAACTTGAAATATTAATTCATCCTGAATTATCCTCATTATGGCAGTGTATCATAATAATATTGGATATTTATATACATGTAGTGCACATATCCACCCTGCAAGGGGCTCAAAGCGCTCCAATATTACCCCGGCTCTGCTAGGCTACCGATTTCGGTGCTCACAGTATTCAAGGAATTCCTTCCTACCGGTACCCATTTAACACCTGGGTGGAGAGTGGCAAATGTAGATTAATGTCTTGCCAAAGGACATTAGTGCTGCGGCGAGACTTGAACCGCTGACCCTGTGATCCACAGTCTGACGTCTTGTCTACTAGACCACAATACCCAGCTAAACTACATTGAATACACCCTGCACCTCTTCGCTCACTCACTCAAAATTCTTTTCTTCGCCGCTCTCCTCACCTCCTCTGTCTGTTTCCAGAGTCCTCTTCTATTCTCTCGCTCTGTCTGTCGGCATCCTTTTCATATCAAATTGATTTTGTATTATAACCTGCACACCCACTCTAGTTTGCATTATTACGGTAACTGTCAATGATAAAGATAACTCCTTTTTGTAAATTGATTTGTAAATTGATTTGTAAACTTATACCAGTGAAAAACAAAGTTCTTGAATGAGTAATACATGTAAATACTACAATAGCCATGTCATGTCCTATACATACCGGTACATATATACACTGTACACGTATATTGTACCTTACACATGTGCATATGATACACTGCTCAGCTGACAATTTTGTACAATAACAAAATTGCTACATGTACATGTACATGTATGTACATATATGTAACTTCACATAACCTGTATACTAAATTCAATTTGCAATGAATTTGCATGAGAAAAATTCAATCACTTCTTTTGATTTTCTATGTCAAAGTCCAGAGAACAAGCACAAAAGAATTTATAGACCAAATACACATGTATCAAGGACATTCAGGAAAGGCATGCAAACAATCACACTACCATGGTGAACTGCATACATCAGCCTGGCATACATGTATATTATTTATAGCAAAATTGAATTGAGCTCAATTTAAAGGAACCTTACATACATGTACATGTATTGTAACTAAATTTAAGTTCAATTCTACATTTGCATTGAGTTTGTCATAACAGAAGTTCTCCTACATCTGTAGTATTGAAAAACTGTCAAATTATGTTTTATTATCCGTATATGAACAAGTATAATTTGAAGGGTATTCTTTCAGCAATGCAAGGAAATATTCTTTGATTATATCAATATACATGTATAATAATAGTGGGTTCTCGTATAGCGCTCATGTCTACCAGACTTGACACTACTGCCGCTCCGGATTATTACCTTGCCTGACAGGGGGGAAAGAGAAAGTGGAGGGGAAGAGGAAGGGGAGGGAAGGGGAAGGGGAGGGGAAGGGGAGGGGAATGGGAGGGGAGGGAAGGGGAGGGGAAGGGAAGGGGAGGGGAGGGGAAGGGGAGGGGAGGGGAGGGGAGGGGAGGGGAAGGGGAGGGGAGGGGAGGGGAAGGGGAGGGGAGGGGAGGGGAGGGGAAGGGGAGGGGAGGGGAGGGGAGGGGAGGGGAGGGGAAGGGAAGGGGAGGGGAGGGGAGGGGGGGGAAGGGGAGGGGAAGGCGAGGGGAAGGGGAGGGGAAGGGGAGGGGATGGGAGGGGAAGGGGTGGGGAGGGGAAGGGGAGGGAAGAGGAAGGGGAGGGGAGTGGAAGGGGATGGGAAGGGGGAGGGAAAGGAGGAGGGGAAGGGGAGGGGAAGGGGAGGGGAAGGGGAGGGTAAGGGGAGGGGAGGGGAGGGGAGGGGGAGGGGAAGGGGAGGGAAGAGGAAGGGGAGGGGAGTGGAAGGGGATGGGAAGGGGGAGGGAAAGGAGGAGGGGAAGGGGAGGGTAAGGGGAGGGGAGGGGAGGGGAAGGGGAAGGGGAGGGGAAGGGGAGGGGAGGGGGAGGGAAAGGAGGAGGGGAAGGGGAGGGTAAGGGGAGGGGGAGGGGAGGGGAGGGGAGGGGAAGGGTAAGGGGAGGGGAGGGACAAGGAGGAGGAAGAGGGTGGAGCTAAATGCAATGTGGCAGGGGGAAGAGAGAGGAAATTGGAGGGGTAAGAGATAGGAAATGGTGAGGGAGAAGAAAGGAGGAGAGAAAGGAATTGTGTGGATTTTTTTCTATAAGAAAAATATATTTCGAAACAGGAAACCGCCTTTAAAATCACAGTACATGTATAGACTTTCAGACATGACTTTAGCATTCTACAGTCCCGGTACTATGAATGATATTTTGTCATATTTGCGGATACACAATACATAGCACATATGAAGTACCATGGAGGGCTTGACAATATGCTCATTCCTAGTTTTCTATCCTCTTGTAATTACCACTTGAAGCACTCAATGGTCTTGCCCCTTGTAGACAATTGTGGACCTTGAAACTTGACAGAGTAACAATAGGCCTGTCCTCAGCAGCTCGAGATTGCCAAATAGTCCGCTATTTCTGATTTGGGAAATAATCCCGAAGTTACGAATCACGTTTTCATCAGCTCGAGATTGACAAATAGCCTGCTCTGCTGTTTCTGATTTGGGAAATAATCCCGAAGTTACAAATCGCGTCCTTATCAGCTCGAGACTTGACCTTGAAACTTGAGCTCAAGCTCGAGAAATAAGTTCAAGATATTTTGCTCATATTTTTCGCGCATAGTGCAAGTCTTCGGGCTGGTGAAAACGCACCTGACAAGATGCAGGATATTTTGCAAACTAGCCCAAGATTTCTTAGGATATTATCCGACCAAATATCCCACAAATTGCTACTTCAGGCTGATGAAGACGCAAGTTAACTGGATAATTTGCGATCGGGATAGTTCAAATAGCAGGATATTTCGCAATCTAGAGCTGATGAGGACAGGCCCAATGAATGAAGCACAAGTAGCCTTTGCACTTCTCATATTTTCCTCATATTTTCCTCACAATTCCCACGGCCATTTCTCAGATGTCAACACTGTTTCAACATACATTTGTCAACAAAACGTGGGCCAAATGAAACATGTCATTCTACATGCACATGTCAGCCATGAAAATCATCTTTGGTTGCTTTTCTTCATATTTCCCAGAGCCCTCGTCAGCGCTGATTTTCTCTGTCGAAATGTTGACAACATTCCACAATGTCAACACTCTTTCGGACATAAATACATGTATAAACATGTCAACAAAACTTTTAATTTTTATGGACCAAATGAATGCAATATTAAATCAATTGTGTCATAAAAAAAATCAACATTAAAATAAAAAAATTAAATAACCCCAAACAATGAGCAGATACATGCAGGGTCTTGACATAAAAAGGGGAATGGGAACACTTCTGAAATTATCTGACAAGCAAAACAAAATATTTTATGAAAAAACCGCACACAGACACCCCAATGTTAGCTTTACAACTTCAAGTAAGAGTGCTGAATACACTATGATAATGACTGACAAAGAAAGTGGACAAAATATACAATTCCTAAGGTAGACAAAGGAACATCCCTTCACTGCTATCATGTAAAAACGTGTACTGTAGAACAGGTGTCACATGCATATTCACTTTTTACATAATAGCAGTGAAAGGATGGTCCTTTATCTACCTGAGGAACTGTATATTTTGTCCGCTTTCTTTGTCAGTCATGTTCATAGTGATACTCCCTTACAAATGAGTTTTTACATTTTAGGGTTCTTGCTACACATGTCCATAAAACATGTCACATACAATGTACATGTAGTCATGTACACATGTGTACAAGTAAGTACATGTACATGTACAGCAGTATCTGTATCTGTATGGTTTGGTCAGCCAGTCTCTCAAGACACTCCACACTAACTTTATGATGACAGGGGCGCATTGCATAGCAAACCATACAGATACAGTAATACTTTCAGTTTTAGTGTAAATCCACGTACATGTACGTAATGTAGGCCTGCAATACTGAATGTCAAGATCAGATCTACAATGTACTTGATAAGAGTAATTTATAACACTGAGCATATGCTATTTTCACACAGTGTCATACAATGTACATACAAGGAGACATCCCAGAACCCATCAGTAGTACACTGTACAGTGTATCAATACGGTATATCAGACAATGACAGAACCCTTCAGATTTTTGTTCACGTATAAAGTAAAAACACAAAGGGCACAGCTGGCAAAATTAGATGTAAACAAACCTCAAGAAATATATTCTCACATGTAAATCAAACATGGTACTGATTAAAGTATATTTGTGATTCAATTCAACAGACTACAATGTACACAAGGAGAAATAAAAATCAATTTAGATTTGAATTTACAAATCCTTATGATACATGTACATTGATAAAGCCAGTGACAAATCCAGCCCTACCCCAAAAAAAAGGGGGGGGGGGTGAAGTAGGAAGAGAAATGTGTAGCCAAACTGCCACACCAAAAACCTGATGGTCTTCCTTGTCACAAAATTTTCATGCTTGTGCCTCCTCCCTGCCCCCCCCCCCCCCCCCCCGACACACAATACTAGATCTGCCACTATACACAGTGACATTACAAAGAGAGAGTGAGGGAGGGGTACACTTGTACAAAAAAGGAGAGAAGGAAAACAAGAGGGAAGAGAATTTTGTACCTACCTAGCTACATGTACATATAGGTAAGCTAACCCCCCCCCCCAAAAAAAAAAAATAATAATAATAATAATAATAATAATAATAATGATAATAATAATAATGGATGATCTTGCTTTTCACAGAACTATTGCTTGTCAGCTCCAAACACACAAAAGAAGTTAATTAATGAAATGAAAATTCCAGGTATCCTTTTCAGTAAAAGATACCGGGGAATCTCTTCACCATGAAAAAACAAATAGTTGATGATTACGTTTAATGCCCATTAGTTGAGCAAATAAACCTTGAACAAAATATTTCTGACATACTTGTACATTCTGCAGTCTGCACACAAATGCACTGACACTCCCCTTTATGATGGTACACGTAGTCATGTACATTGTTTTGCAATAATTTTGTTTGTGTTACGTTACTTTTCATGGCCACTCAATTGCTTTTCCTAAATACAGTGTTAGACATATTATTTATCATTTTGTTCTGTTACAGTCAGAGCAACATCACTGATCAATGAGCTCACTTTCTACAGTGTACATTTGGTGGTGCAAAAAATCTAAATAACATTAACAATAACAAGCCACAAATCTGAATAAAAGACCAAAATCTGTCCAAAGAAGAAGAAATTGAAGAAACCTGAGAATATTGAAAATTCACTTACTTTCTTCTTCCTGCAACTGATATGCCAGTGCTCCATCTTCGTATACAGACCAATTCTTGACAACTGCGGAGAGGGGGGGAAAAAGGATAATGTTGAGAAGATTAACAGATAAATATTATAATTCATGTCATTCAAACATTGTTTCCTTGTTAAACCATGTTAGATTAAATTAAAATCGCCAACGTTATTATGAACCGATTAATAATTTAGCTGTTTACTGTACATGTGAACAATTTATAGCACTGGTATCTATATATTTGAGAATGTGACATGTACAATTATAAATCTTAAAGTATTCAATAAAGACCCCAATTCAACCAGTCCATCATCATACTTTAACTTGAGTTACAAAAATCACAAAAACATCAAATTTACAAGGGGTATGAATAATTTAGTTGTTGACTGTATATGCATGCACTAAGTGGCTAAAGTAAAACGAGGCAGCTGACTTCTAAAACCTTCAAAGTGAACCCTCCCCCCCCCCCCCCCCCCCCCCCCCCCCCCCCCCCCCCCCTCCCGCCGACATGTATTTAAGATAAAGCTGCTACATGTACAGTAGGAGTGTCTCCTGAAATCATATCTGCAAGCAAGTTAAAAACTAATCCTCCAAGGAATAATGAGTCATGTTATCGAATCTTCAACAAGTATGTGCAAAAAGACTGAAGATATAAAAAGCTGGATGTTGAGGCCTTTTCAGGGTGGAATGTGATTGTACATTTAATTCATGTTGGAAAGGAATTTTGTTGATTTGTGTGGAATTAACAGTCCAAGATTAAATACATGTAATATATATCCTGTGATGGACAACTGCAATGTACATGTTAGATTTAATAACATAATGTTTTTATACAATTACAAAATACACACATCAAGATGCCCTAGAGTACATAGGTTTTGAAGGTAGATTCACTCCCCATATACATGTACATGTACTGGAATACTTAAGCATTAGAACATCTAATGTCAACTATTTACAATTTGTGATTTCTCTGGTACTTCAAAGCTGATACATTGCTCTTTTATTTACCAATGAAATTCTCACAGAATCAAATGAAACTCAGTCTACGTGTACATGTACATGTACTGTACCTGTTGAAAGACTAAAATTGAATATCAGCAGAACCATTTTGGTACGAACTGTATACATACATGTATGATCGTGTACATGTTTATTACATACAGTACATGTACATTGTTAATGTACATGTAGCTGAGTAATGCATAAAGAAAGATAAAGAAAAATAAACATATGATTCCCTACATGTACATGTATGCATGGATGCGAAAAGATATTTTCGGCTTACCAGTGTTTAATTTCTACCACATTTTCATGAATGTACATACACCTGTAGTCATGTTTTTTCTCACCTTGTATCAGATTTTTGTAGAAAAAAATTACAGAATGACTTTGAGAAATTGAGAATGGCTTTGCTTACAAAATGTTCAAGTGTGTCAGAATTCCCATACAACACCATAAGTATCTTTAAAGGGACTGTACATGAAATTGTCTCTGTTATCCCATAATTAAGCAGAACTGGGTCAATAGGGTCACTCATACAACAAAGGAAGTTATTAATTTTCTTCTATTTAGAAAGGGATTAACGGTTTATATAGAGTCTCAGGTCCAAAAGTCGAATTGTTAGATTAAGTGATGACCTGATTAGTGATGACCTCGTCACAAGCACAGGCAGTGGGGAAAACGATTGGGTGATTTCTTTTTTTAATGTGTACTGTTTACTAATAATTAATATTCGGTGTAGACTATTGTATGATGGACAGGTGGGTTTAAGTTTCCAATGCATCATGGAAGAGAGCCTGCAATGCATGATTTTCTCTTCTTCTTCTACTGCAGAAGTACAGCTAACACTAACAGGCCACCATGTTGTTGACGTCTTCAAGGCTATTCACAGTGATAGAACCTTGTGGTACGCCATGTGTAAAAATTGGATGAATTATTATTATAAACTACATATTGAGATCAATAACAAAGATTACTTTCAGACCAACATGACAGACAAATTGGAGTGTTGTTCTAGTTTCTGAGTGGTGAGTCAACACACCGATTACTGAGCTGGGAGACATTGCCAGGCATAGTGCCAGGTGGAGGGGCATAAATCGAAAATTTAAAAAAAATAAAATAAAAAATAAAAAACGGGAAAACAAAACCGTCCAATTGAAAACGGAATCCGCCATGGGCGGTCGGATACCGGACGGTTAAACATTTGACTACAGCACTAATTCACACCAGGCATCAGTCAGTCTAACTCCAGTATGTGCTGGGCTGCTACCGCGCATGTGTACTTTCTCTTGGGCATGTTGAATCGACGATATAAAACATGGGATGAATTGGGTTTAGGACAAGGAGTCACCCTTTTTCCTAACAAAGACTTCTTCAAATTATAACTTCAAGTGGTTGTCCGGATGCCCAGAGGAGTCTAAAGGTAAAACATCGTAGGGTAGCGCACCCAGTATTCGGTCACATAGCCGTTTCAACAGCTGTAACAATTATAAAAATAATTTATGAGTCACGAAACTTGCACAAATCAGGCAGCTGAACAACTTTTCTTAACTCTCAAAATTAAATCAGATTAAGGGCCCCAGAAAAATCTCCAACTTAGCTCGAAATTGGTCAGTGTCGCACAACTTTCTGCACTTCTGCGTTCTGTTAGCACATGCGCTATGCATAGCCATATGTAAAAGTCTATTGCTAAACAACTCAAGGAGCTCTTCCGTGTTCGCTCCATCGCAGCAAATTTGCAAATGACGGAGCTCCCGGAGTTACAGTCAGCCAAGACCACAGATGACCACAACAGAACTCATGAGTCAGAAGTCAACTCAAACTCAATCAAACGAGAAAGCCATTAAAAAAAATCAGATAACAAGTCTGGCATCAACTTTTCGTTTACCTGGGAAGAAATACTCATGAATAACATTAATAATGGATACAGGGCAAACCCGGACTTTAGTGCCCAGCTGAAAATCTCAGTTTATTATGGATTTAATATCAATAATATTAATTATGCTAATATATGCAAATATAAACATACCAAAACTTGATGATTTTTAATCATTTGACGTCATAAAAAGCAATTTTAAGCCAAAAATAGCAGCGAAGTAGGGAATCTCCTCTTTGCTTGATGCGAGATACTAGCGAACTGAAATAACCGAATAAAAACTATGGTGAACTAAAAAAAGAAAAGAAAAAATCAAACCACCTCTGAAATTACCTTTGAAATGTTTATTAATTTTTTCTTCCGATATGCGCACATGATAGGGGCAGGTTGGGATGGGATGGGGGGGGGGGGGGGGGGGGGGGTGCTCAATAGTCGCCAAATTTGGGTAAAAGGGCAACTGGCCTTGGGGGGGGGGGCTAAATTTATTATTTACTTATTTTTCTTTGTAATCATTTTCTAATTTTTTCCGGGGTGGCTCTTTTCTTTATTCTGCTTCTCTTTCTTTCTCACCAGATATGCACGAAACATTGGGGGTTTGAAGAGATGATTACAAAGAAATAAAAGTAAATAATAAATTTAGCCCCCCCCCCAGGCCAGTTGCCCTTTACCCCAAATTTGGCGAGTTTTCAGCACCCCCATCCCATCCCACTCGCCCCCTCGATGCGTGCATGCCTATTAAAGAGAAAGGGAGAAAGGGACGGGGGGGGGGGCAGAGAAAAAGAAAGAAAGATTAAAATAACCCTAAATTTGGCGCCCCCATCAGGAAGGGGGGGGGGGTGTCATCTCTTCAAACCCCCAATGTTTCGTGCATATCTGGTGAGAAAGAAAGAAGAAGCAGAATAAAGAAAAGAGCCACCCCGGAAAAAAATTAGAAAAATGATTACAAAGAAAAATAAGTAAATAATAAATTTAGCCCCCCCCCCCAAGGCCAGTTGCCCTTTTACCCCAAATTGGCGACTATTGAGCACCCCCCCCCCATCCCATCCCAACCTGCCCCTATCATGTGCGCATATCGGAAGAAAAAATTAATAAACATTTCAAAGGTAATTTCAGAGGTGGTTTGATTTTTTCTTTTCTTTTTTTAGTTCACCATAGTTTTTATTCGGTTATTTCAGTTCGCTAGTATCTCGCATCAAGCAAAGAGGAGATCCCCTACTTCGCTGCTATTTTTGGCTTAAAATTGCTTTTTATGACGTCAAATGATTAAAAATCATCAAGTTTTGGTATGTTTATATTTGCATATATTAGCATAATTAATATTATTGATATTAAATCCATAATAAACTGAGATTTTCAGCTGGGCACTAAAGTCCGGGTTTGCCGGATACAGTAAGAACTATCAACTATCATCACATCTCAATGAAAACTCTTCCGTATTTAGTTTCAACTGACAGCAACAACTTTTCGAGAATCTGCATCTGCAACCGCAGAACTATCAGCGCTGTCAACGACACCGACTAGCATCCACGCCCGAAACGTCCGGGTCAAATTAGACTTGGCGTTCCGTTATCATAACAACATTCCTCGCACATCCTCACTTTCTCACAAAAAGTGAAACCAACAATTACATGACAACAAATACATACCTTCCTTTACACCTGGGTTATTGGCTTCTATGATAGTGCCATCCACTCCATCGGCCATTTTACTAGTGATCTGTCTCTTAGTCTGTCAATTAATAAGTCTTTTTTGGTCAAATGGCTTCCCTTATTCGACTTCCAACGCTCGACGATTTCAGCAGATGCTGTGCTGTAGTTGAACAAGAGATGGCGCTGAGCCGAACTCAAAACAAATACTTTTGACATGACGTGTATGTATATCTTGCACCCACGATGTTATTCTGAATAAAATAGTAAAGATGGTTACAAAGAATTCCATTGAGTCATCGTATGCTTGATGATTCACTGCAGAATGAATGAAATAATGGAGGGGGCACACATAGATAGCGCTACATTTTAAATTCATTTTTTTTTTACTCTTATGTCTTCCCCACCACTTTAAAAGTGGGCGTGGTCAATCATGGGCGTAATACGAGTAATACAAAGTTGAAGTGGATGAGCGCTAGCTTCGCCTGGGTTCCAACCTACTTCTCTATCTTTTTAAAAGTTTTTTTGTCTCCAAGTTCATAATATTGACTTGCCATATTGAAGTAAATACTAAATAGTCAAGTTTTCTATTCATTATATGTTATGTTAGCGAGTTTATTAAAATAACACTTCATGACGGCAGTTCAAAAAATAAATGATAGCATAATACTTTCATTATCTTACCAGTTATTTTTTACGGGCGATCTTGACAAAGGACTTTAAAAACAAAAATCATCATATGATCCCGAAAGTGTAAAATCAGTAAATAACAAAGAAATTGATAACAAATAGAAGCGAATTAAATGTTACCAGTGGGGCAGACTAGATTTTTTGATAAGCGATCGCTTCACAATTTAGACGTTTTTTAGGGTTTTAGACATCTAATTACGGTCAGATTAGCATATTTTGATACCTCATTTGTGACACTAGTAGGTCACTCGGAGCCCCGTCGTTTGGCGGGCTCCGAAACTAAGGCTTATAAATAACTATATTTTTTTACCTGCCTGTAAATTTGGGAATTTGTCATTTTCCAACAAACGCGTAAAAAAGTAATATTTACAGAAAAAGGGAGAACAAAATCCATTTCAGCAACATTTTGTCAATCACTGGTATCGAAATAGAATTAAACCACGTTTGAATTTTATTTGGGGGGGCAACTGCCCCCCCCTCCCCCCATCAGTACGCCAGTGACGAATTAAATACTGAATTAAATAGACTAGTCTTCTATTCATTATGGATGCCAAGCACCTACGTATTAATAGACCTCTTCACGACTGCAGTGTGTAAAAAAAATATGAAAATAATGACATAAAAACTCACTATCTTATTAGTAACTGCAATAAAGTCTTTACGGGAATTCTTGACATCATCAAACGTTATCAATTGCAGTATATTGATCGAGTTTTACATCATACCTGATTTTCTTTTATTTATGGGATGAATATGATTCTCTTTGCTTCTCTCTCTCTCTCTCTCTCTATGCCATTACACACTCTCTCTCTCTCTCTCTCTCTCTCTCTCTCTCTCTCTCTCTCTCTCTCTCTCTATCTCTCTCTCTTTGACTCTCACTACCCTCCCCCTTCTCTCTGCACCCCTCTCTCGCTGTGTGACTCTCTCTATCCTTTGCATATTTCACGTCAATCATTACCAATGGTGCTATCCCACTCATACTATCTCCCAAAACTTCTGACTTTCCCGTAATATCATTCAGACTGAAAAAGTATTGAATGAAGTATTTGTTCATATTGATACTGTCAGCTGTCGATCCAGACAGATGTAGATTTGGTGATGAAAAAATCAGGCATTTCGATTCTCTCCCTAATTATTCAGAGGATCACTTATTATGAGGGTTCTAGGACAACCCCCCCCCTCCCCCCCCCCGAGGACAATATTACCTTATTAGGGGTGGGGTACTTGTCCTCGGGGGTAATTGTCCTATATAGGAGTTAATTTTCCGGGGAATTATTTTCCTGGGAGGAGGGGGTATTTTTTTTTTGGGGGGGGGGGGGATTTTCTGGGGGTGATTGTCCAGGGGGTAATTATCCTGATACGATTGCAATGGATTCAACTATTTTGGCGGGAAAGCCCGACATTTTAAAGACCATCAACACTACTGGGCCAGAAGGGATTAGACCACACAGCGAGGTCACTGACAGGTGGCCATCTCATTAACTCAGCTCTCAACTAGCATAAGAAAAAGAGGATCATGGGGGACCAACAGGCACCGATGGGGAAGTTTTCTATAGAGGGAGCAAGTAACTACAAGTAGGACAGTGGGGCTTTAAAAAGGCATTACTTTTTTTCCAGTCATACCATACTTACTGATTGTTGTTGATGTAAGGGAAAGAGGACTAAAGCACAATATGGTAGTGTAGCAAAACACTATCGGGGAGTCTTGGGGGAGGTCATCCCTATAAGGGGCCTATTTTTTTCATGGTAGGCCTATAAGCTGGCCCCGACAGCTAAGCTAGTCCTACCGTTAAGCTAGTCAAGACATACGAATTCTTTGTTTCCACTTTACTTTATTAACATGCAATTATGTACACTCTCAGATATAAAAGCAAAAACAAATTAAGATACATGTATCAAAAACGTGTGTAGAAAGACGTGAATGAATGAATGCAAAGTGATTCCATTTCTGAGAACATTATGCAAGTATATTATACATAATTATATTATTATGTTTACATATTCAATACATTTCGGATATCAATAATACGATACAGTAGTCCTGCAAAACCATATACATGTACATGAGATATATAACAAAGAGAAATTCACCGGCTTTCAGATGACTCAAGGCAACCAAAGAGACTGTATTAGAAGAGCAATTTTGAAATAGCTCGAACAAAGAGAATACATCTTTCACAACGTAACGCATATTGCAAGACTCCACTTCACTTTCCATTATTCAGGTGAACTGCCCACCAACTGCCACAATCATTACAACACAGGCTTGAATGGAAACGATCATTACAATATAGACATAAATGGACAGAAATATATTATAGAGTATAAATTGATAAGATGTAATGATAACAGAAAACTGTACAGGAGCATTGGATGTTTGAAATATTAAACTTGAAAGAAATTGTGATTGTAGATAATAATACAGCTTTGAGCATTTATAAAATATCCTATTCAACCATGAACAACACTTCAAAGAAGTATTGGCCATACAAGGCATGTAGTTTAAGATATAGAAATTAATAATGATTAATTAAAATTATGTCAACTCAAATCCAATGTGAATGGATGTTCTATTTCCATTTGACTGAAGAGCAAAACAAAATTCTAAAAAAATAGATGATATAACGATGACATATTTACAAACATGTACATATCATATATATATATATATACAAAACAAAAAACAAAATTCTAAATTCTTAACAATTTATAAGATATCACTTGGTCGAATATTCTATTCAGATCTACTGATCATAAAAAAGACATAAACATAACTTACATTGCATCATTGTGATGGGAAATAGACATGCATTCTAATGCTACAAAATAAAACGACAATAATCCTGGAAATGGAGAGATGTGTTCCATCAAACGCCATTTTTCAAACCATCTAATGGAGGTTTCTCTCTGTCTTATTACTACCACCTGTCTTACTCCTTTCTGTCTTATATACACAGCACTGTTGTATGCATGTCGCAAAGAAGTCTAGATTGTAGGTATACACCATTTGATCTTGAGTAGTTTACTACAAGAATATTATTACACCGAGATCGAAATGACTAATTCCTCTCTCTTACTGCATAATTGAGTTTGACATGAAATGCCACAAATATGACCATCATAAATTGAATACAAAAATATCAAAACGAGATAGGGTAGACTCTTTCGAAATACAGCAATAACAGTTGCATACATGTCACAACATGAGATTTCATTACATAAAACATATTATCATGGTTAGTTGAATACAAGAATATTTAAACGAGATAAGGCTACTAATTTCTCTCATATTACATCGACGACTGTTACATACACGTCAAAAATAGACTAGATTGTATGTATACATGATCTGATCACGATTTTATATAAGAATATCACAACGAGATCAAGATGACTATTAAATTCCTCTTCTTTACTACTTCAATAACTGTTGCATGCATGTCACAAACTAGTCTAAATTATATCAAAGTTAGGATCATGATTAGTTGGATGTAGCCGTTCTGGGAAATGATGTTATGACAAAATACTTAAGGGTGGTAAAAATAATAGCACGACATGTATGGGTGATATGGTTTGAATGGATTTGTAAGAGTACATTGAGTAGACAAATTGTTTTCCTGTCTCAGTTTAACCGCATACACACGCTGCTAAATATAATCATACTTTAACATTGTATTAACGTCAAACTTATTATGTTCATGAAGCACGACATACTCCCGGACTAACAATCGTGAACAACACTTCCATGAAGTATTGGCCATACATGGCACGTAGTTCAAGATATAATATTTACACACGTGTACATATCAGATATTTCATCATGTTTGTGTACATCTCATCAAGAAATGAGAATGTTCACTTAATCTTGACTATAACGATTACATCTAGAAGAAACAAATATGTTCAATATTTTAATTTCAAAAGCAAGAATTTATTGGCTAGGACAGAAATAAGTCTAAAGCTTGTCTAGATCGAGTATATACATTATACACACGGTTTTTCAACAAAAAAATTTGATAATGGAAGAATTGTCGGTCAAACAGGAAAAAGTTGATACAAATTACTTTACCCGTAGTTCATGAAATAAATATTGGTATACCGGAAAGTCTTACAGAACACATGTATCACGATGATGAAGAATATATCAACAGATCCTTACGGATTAGAGTCCTGATGACCTTATTATGATGGTACAATGCAATATATTATCATCAATATCATTACAGTATAGCCAATGTGAGAACATAGACACCGGTTGGAATTGTGCTAAACAATCAAGAGAGAGTTTAGATTTGTTCAAATTCATTTCGGTCATTTCATATTTCACATTTTACGTTCCTTATTGTCAGTTTTATTTACTTGAATTGTAATGATAGTGACAATACAATTATTGATATAAGTTCATAATTATATCAAATCACTTTATTTATTTGTAGCTACTTGTATATTAAGGAATTACTTAAAATTAGAAAAGAGGAA